CTTTTTGTTAAATTGATAATATTTAATTATCTCTATTATGATTATATTGCGCGCGCGCGCGCGCGTGCGTGCTTGCGTGCGTGCGTGCGTGCGTGCGTGCGTGCGTGCGTGCGTGCGTGCGTGCGTGCGTGCGTGCGTGCGTGCGTGCGTGCGTGCGTGCGTGCGTGCGTGCGTGCGTGCGTGCGTGCGTGCGTGTGTGTGTGTGTGTGTGTGTGTGTACGCACACACACAAAATTATTGCACTATATTTTCATTATCTTACAAAAGTTTCAAGTGTTTTCTTCTTCCATGTCCATGCACGTTTTACAATTTTATCTTGTACGTCTTGTACTTGTTTCGTCTTATAATTTTTTCTCAAAAATTTCCTAACTTTGTGTCACTTGATGGGCATTTTCGATTTATTTTTTAAGCCCTTTCTTAATTATTATATATCAAAAATATACCATCTATTTAAAAGCACTTTTAAGCCTTTCAATAATCTTATTTTGCATTTTAAATAAAACATTTATTTATCTGTTATTAATATTTGCATTTTTTAATAACTGTCACAAATATTAATTATATTTACAATATTCTTTCATTTTCTTCATATCTATGTTTACTAACTTAAAAACTGTATAATTTACCGTGTCACATTCAATGATACGTAAGTTTTAACAACCATTGTTTTTATAAATTGATTCTTTAACTAATTATAATTTATATAAAATTAAAAACGAAAGTTTTCTTTTGCAAATTATCGTTTATATGTCGTCTAATCGTTGTTTTACAAGTTGTTGCTGTATATAAATCAAAAAATAAGAATATGGTTGAAGTAAGTTTATTATTCATATAGATCAATTCTTTATATAACGAAAAGAAAGAATATAAAAAGAATTGTTAACAAAAATAATTTTATTGTAACATTATTTACGATAAATGTGATGTTAAGCTAATTTTCTTATTGTTAGACTTATACGTTTATCTTACACAATTAAATACATATAAAATAATTTTCCATTAAATACAATTTAAATCTTTTAATTTAAAAGCACAATAAAGTGAGACAGAGAGAGAGAGAGAGAGAGAGAGAAAGAGAGAGAGAGAGAGACAGAGAGAGAAAAAGAGAGAGAGAGAGAGAGGGAACACTCCATGCATATGCTAAAAATATAAAATAAGCAAATAATATAAAACATTATAAATAATAGTAACACAAAAATTAACTATTTTAATTTTGTTTATTTACTTTATTATTATACTTATTATACTGTACTTTATTTCTATTTTTTTATTTATACAGTACATACATATTATTTATACATAAAAATGCTGTATTTAACCAAATAATTTAAATTAATAACATCTTTAGATCTTTATTTATTATGCACTTATGCCATCGCTAATGATAACAAAATAATAATGTTCAAAAATTACTTGTGTTTTTCATTTTTAGATATTTCTAACAAAAAATATAAAGATTGACAGGATGTTGTTTGAATACATAAATGGGTATTTATATGTGCAGAATGTTTTAAAAATATAGTTTAAAAATTTGCAGAAATGTAGGATAATATGTAAATAAATATGTAACGTAGGATAATATGTAAATAAATATGTAGATAAAAGATTATTAATAATTACATAATATTATTATTTTATTTTCTTACAGGAAACATTCTATACGCCATTTTTTTTCCGTTTCAATACACATTTGATTTTCACACAATCAAAAAAATCTTTTAAAATCCTCTTTCCTAAAATTTTGCTATACTTTTAAATATCTTCATTAGCACAGATGTACATAAAATGCATATTTGCCATATCGGTAAAGTAACAATTTGCCATTGTTAATAAATTTATATCAAATTACATATCTAACAAACTGATAATCTCAACTATCATATGTCTACTGAAATTATGTTCGATGAGTTTGAACGTTTACCTATCAAAGTATTATAATATTACGATAAGATAATCCTTTGTTTTCATACTGTAAGTGATAAATAGATAACGCGATTTAGATAATTCAATTTATTAAAATAAATAACTCGCTCTTTATTTTGAAAAGACTGATTTGCGGACTAATGTTGATAGAGCATTTTTTATTCGATCCGAGAAAGTACTACAAGCCTGCAAAATATCGAAATGTCTTTTCGAAACGTATATGTTGTTTATAATTTTAAATTTCTGATTCCATTTTAAGTTAAATTTATACATTATTTAGATGATATAAAGCAAAAGTATTAAATTATAAGAACAATAAGGGATTTATGATACAACCAAGCGCGGACAATCAAATTGATATATGCAACGTGCATCTAATACGTCAATCTTCTCTCTCTGCCCTTCCCCCCCTCTCTCTCTCTTATTATTTTTATATTTCTATCTCTATTCATTCATCACACACACACACACACACACACATATCTCTATTTTTATCTCTATATCTATTTCTATCTTTTTACGAGTCTGATATATATGTTATTTAAATACTAAATACAAGCGATTTTCTCATCTCGCTTAAATTTTACACAAAATTAGGAACATTTATAGTTTTTATACATTGCATACAACTTACTAATCTTATTTTGTGGCTCGAGTAGGAACAATCTGTTTGCAGTAAAAGTGCATGACTTAAATATTAAAATAATCACAGAATACATTATTTAAAAACAAAACTAGTTTTATAAATTTTGTTCTGATCATGTCTTCATTGTACGTAGATTATGCACAGTACAAATAACCGAGCTTACACTAAAGTAGGCCGACTTGTAGAATGCATTATATAAACCATGCAAAAATAATTATTTTAATTAACGCGTAATGTTAATAGAGATTAAAGAATTTTAGATAAAAAGAAGTCATTCTCTATCTCATTATGTTGAATATAATATAATATTTTATTATACATTATATTTAATATAATTATGAAAAATGCTGAAAGAGAGAGAGAAAGAGAGTGCGTGCATGCGTGCGTGCGCGCGCGCGCGCGCGCGTGTGTGCGTGCGTGCGTGCGTGCGTGCGTGCGTGAGTGCGTGAGTGTGTGTGTGCGTGTGCGTGTGCGTGTGCGTGTGCGTGTGTGTGTGTGTGTGTGTGTGTGTGTGTGTGTGTGTGTGTGTATGTGTGTGTGTGTGTGTGTGTGTGTGTAACGGAGGAAATTATTCTTACGGTAATGCGTTGTTCACTACAATAAAAATTGAAGAAGAGTCAAAGAAAAACAGTAGTGTTTATTGTACATTTTTTATCTATTGGCTGACGCAAACTATGCACTATAAAAAATATTGATGTGAAATTTCACCACACTTATGTAGCTAATGTTTCAATGTGAATTTTAACATCAAATTATTACAAATTTCTCACACAAACAAACGCAGTGTTAAATTATAATGCAATGTTATTTGCTTTTCCAATATGCGGTGTGATGGCGCATCACGTGACTGCAAAGAACCAATCGTCATAATGTTAAGATTCACCGTTCTTTATGTAGAAATTCACACCACAACAATGTCAATTTTTCACACCAATCAGATAGTATTAATTTCACACCAACATGGTGAGAATTATGTAAACATTCGTGTGGGTGTCTACATAAAATCCACTGATGTTAAAATGACAGCTGTGGTGAGAATTTTTAGAGAATATTTTTTAGACTATGGAACTATGTTTATTTATTCCTTAAACTAAACATCGTAAAATTTTCTTTCTATGTTTCATAAATGCCAACAAACTCTTAGATGTGGGTAACTTTTAGAAAACATTATTCCATTATAATAAATTGTCAAAAATTTTCTGCAAATAACATTACATAAAGAATGCTCGAAACTAGACTATTTCGTTAAGATATCTTGTTAGAATCTGGTCTATATCTATTATGCCTGCATTTAAAATAATACCGCATGTCATAAAATATCATCGGTTTGACATATTATTTTGTTTCACATGTGATTTACGATCAAATTGTGAAATATATACTCGTAAACTAGCTTGTATTATCAAAAAGCACACGTGAGTCCTCCAAGAACATTATAAAACTAGAAAATATCACATCTACTTGTTAGAATAGGAGAATAAATCTATTCTACTATTGTTATTTATTGTTATACTAATATATATATATATATATATATATATATATATATATATAATCATAAAATAATCTTACTTATAATATAATGTAAACATAAAAATTGTCTTTAACATATAATTTGTAAAAAACATTATTCATGAAATGTCTTCGAAATTTTATGAAAGGGATCTATAAAATTCCGCTTTACACCTCCTTCCATAAGTAACGAAGCATGACGTTTTTATTCGTGTCACTCTACTGACCCTCGAACACGTCGTTCACATTGAGGCACTGATTCTAAAGTTAATTTGACAAGACATTTCGATAAATGAAATGTATGATATGTAAATGATATGTATGAGGACATATACTAATCCTTAAATATGTTAAACGCTCTAAACGCTCTAAGTCTGTTCACAAATTCTATTAATATTATCTTGCTGTGAAATTCGCTCTTTACCTTTTTCCTTAAAACGCATTTACATGTTTCTAACCATTCTTTCTCTTTTTTCACTTTCTATATGCGTTTGGGTATACTAGGTATACATTGTACAAACTCGATTCTCGAGTGTGTCTTTATACAGAATCTATTCTACATTTATCTCTTGCATTCGTATTCCTTTGACTTTTTTTCTTTATGATTAAATGAAATTATAATATACATATAATCGTATGCGTTTCAGAGTCTTGATATATCAAATATTAAGTATGATTACATAAATTATGTAATTACGTAAAAATTTGGTTGTAAAATAAGAGCAACTGTTTGAAATAAAAACGTAAGATTGAATTTGTATGTAATTAATTTTTTTCTTATAAAGTATAATTTAAAGTATCATAGCAGAATATAAATAAGCATCTTATTTATTGTTAATCACTTAAAAATAATTTTAAAATTATTTTAACATTTTTAGCAGTGTTTTTCAAATCAGAATCAAACTTAGTCTGCAGAGGATTCGTTACCCAAAAAAAGAACGTTTTATTTATCCAAGTATTGTGTTATAATTATTATGTATCATCTCTTCCGCATTTATTGATAAAAAGACTCTTCTCTTTATTGTATATCAAATCATTAATTTTTTTCCTTTTGGTTAATAATCTAGCTCTTGTGCTGTACATATTATCATGTGTATTAAGCGCGAAAGTTCATTATTGAAGCAATCTTCTGTTTTCTCGACAATCGACTATTCAAATAGATCCCATTCAGGACATCAAAATCTAAAAATCGGTGCTCCGATTGAAGATTTCTGAATATAATTTCTATTAGGTACGCCAGTGCAATTAAATTCGCTCAGTATCTCTAGTCACATTATTCGTTGATGCAAGAACGTGGCGGCAGATTGCTCGTCAGAGTGACAAAGTTGTGCAGGTGCACCTGGTACTCCCGACAGTGCCATCGGAGCTGGAAATGAGGTCATGCCTTTGTGATCCATCACTGGATTTCAAGGGAACGATTTAATGGCAGCGCAGCGCATTCGCCGCGCATAAATTGCTCGTAACTCGCTCTTTGATGGGTATTAAGGTACTCAGCAAGGACAAATTCTGAAAAATTGCTGATCGTTACCTGCATGGGTCGATCAATGCGTCCGCGCCGTTGTGCGCGCAGTTATCAATTTCGCGCGGGATTTCATACGATCCGTCGTTGATAATTGTAGCTGAGAGTTATCGCAGAAGAGGGGTTATCATCATATGAGTTCTATACATATTTCTCTCTATACATATAAAACAACAAATCTCTCCGTTTATTAAAGATTTTCCATTTTTCTGTAAATCTTAAGTCATGCCGTGAATCGAGGTTGATTCCAAAACATATATATACTTATACATATATATATATATATATATGTGTGTGTGTGTATGTGTGTGTGTGTGTGTATATAATAAGTATATATATATTTATTTATTCAAAAGCTCAGAAAATCAAATTTCAAAACAAGATACTTTTAAAAAAGTTACTTGAAGCAATATGCTTGCTTCAAGTAATGCTCTTGCTCGAGACAGGTACACGAGATATCAATTTCAGATCAAAGCAGAGAAATTCAATTCATTCATATACAAACGTACGCTTGTACGCCCAACGTATATGCAGAGTGTTTGAATACGATCGCAACACTACATGCGAATTGATAAATAACGAAACGGCGTAAATTGTGCATTTTAGCGTCGTTATTATTGCAGAGCAGTACAGAGCAAAATAAAATTTTCTTCTTCCAAATTTCCTAGTATCTAGTTAAATTTCTCTTATCGTAGTAGCAGTCATCCGTACAAGTTTGATAATGTACACGCGCCAAATTAAATCAACAAGCTCATTTCCTGAAATATATTTCAGAGTGCATTTTATTTTACTCGTAATATATACACATAAAATCTCGCCAAAATTAATATATAATTTTATTGTGAAACATGTGGAGCATGTGAGCAAACTTGTAAATGAATCTATCTCTTTGGTATTTTGAATAAATATTCGGAGTAATCTAAAATTAAATATTAATAGTGCATAATCAATACAAATGCACGCATCGTAACCATTTTTTAATTTTTCGCTTCTTACTTAATTTTCTTGATTTGTACAATAGGTATACCACATACTTTTGATAAATATTAATTCATACAGAACACCCTGTACATACGTCATATGTATGTATATGTAAATACAATGACGTAGGAATCATGAGCAAATTTCACTACTATTATTCCGGAGATACAAGCTTAGAGTTTTACAGTCTAATCCTGAATTAGCCTCGTCACGTCACGATAATTATGCAAATCTCGTTCAAAAAAATAATATATAAATTTTCGAAAGCTTACAAAGGGATATGTTTTCATATAACTCGCACAGACGAATTTAAATCTCTGACGATTAATCAATCATGAAATCAAATATTACCAATCGCATTTACGTCACATGTCCTTCAATTGATTGCCAGATTTCAACGATATTTGATAAATACAAAAAGGGAAACAAATAAAATGAACAAGTTAATTTAAAATTCATCGAAGCTTCTTCCAAAATATGCTACAAAACCAAGAGATCACTTTCCTTATTCTTATTGTATCTGAATCCTTAAATAAAGCTGAAGTCGCGCTGTTGCAACACTTGCAACGATCTAAGCCTATATATAGCTAGACCTTAAATTATTTCGTGCACAATGTATGTACAGTGTACACATGTGTATTAAGCATACTACATCTTCAGCTCATACATACATTTTGTGATATTATATATACTATATACATACATACATATATATATATATATATATATATATATATATACTTTTTCTTGCAGCTTTTGTGTTTGTTTAGTATAATGTACCTGTACGTCAAAAGAACGATTCTACATAGCGCGATATCGCTTTCGTTATTTTTCACAGTTTTAGCTTAATAATTCCAACAGTTAAAATCTCTGCTGTTTCCTCTTTTATATCATTTTAATATTCTTAATAAATTTGCATTCCCATCGCAAATTTTTTCCTCTTTGCTCTACTAATTTTTATTAGCGACTAAAATCTCGGGTGTAAAACTTGATGCAAACATAGGGTATATTGTTGTATGTATCCTCATTTCACAAGCTATTCTGTGTCTTCTTCCCTTCCTCTTTCTTACATAATTGATATAATCTTGTTATTCTCAAAGATCTTGCAAATGTTAAATTTTCAGTAGAGGGAATTCCACTATTTTGTAATAGCATGAATTTCAAACTTTTATCTTTCGTACGTAAATAAGCTTCATTTAGTTTATACAAATTATAATTTTTCCATTAATAATACACACATTTGTATTTACCTATTCTTCAAAAACAGTTAATTGATTAATGCAAAACGAATTCCCTACTTGGAAATTTGTTGATACTTTGAGTAGATATCGATTATTTCATTGAATAAAAATCTATATGTAATCTGTACTTGTGGTTGATATTTATATATTGTATTATACCGTGCATTTACGATTTAATTTGGAAAATCAATGTAATATAAGTTGTATGTAATGTAATGTAATGTAATATTATATACATATTACTAATAATGTATTACTAATTTATTAATAAATCATGCAAATCATTTAAATATTAAGTATTAATATTACCGGCATGTAAAGTATAATAATTCAATTTAAATCGTTATTTTTAAATATATTTAATATAATGTGTGTATGGTAACGTTGATATATTCAGTTATTCCGTTACGTATAAGTGTACATAACAACAATTTTTACATTTAATTGGAAATTGATTTACACCTTGTTGCAACATTAAAGGCAATAAAAAAAAGTGATAATTCGTTTAGATGCTATAGCTATGACATTTGTACTATTCCACCGAAATATAAAACACGTCTTTATTTAGATTCTCATCGCTGCTAAATGAGAGGCCGGGATCACAAGAGCAGTTACGTTTTAATTATGTACAAAATGTTAAGCGCAGTCGCAAGACACAAACGGAAGTCAATGTGCATTTATGCTCCTTACGCTACGTACATAATAAGTAATGACCTTTAAACTCTAGCGCATTTGCATCGAAAACCACTTACCTCCGCGATCTTATTCAAGCTAGTAGTTCGAGGTGTCGAATCACCTGCAATAAAATGAATAAACTTATAGGCGATTGATTCCAGCTCTCTACACTGTCTCATTCTTTCGATATCCTCGCGATATGAGTCGCGTTTTATGCACATCGATTGAATCATCACCAATGCGACACATTTTAAACTTTTCTCGAATAAATGCGCGAAATTAATTCCAATCTTCGATCTGCGTAAAACCAGAGACATCGAAGAAACTCGTAATTCGGCGTCAAGTTTCATTTACTTCCATAACTGCCGATAGGCAGTATATAGAATACAAAGAGTCGAAAGAGTTTTCAAATTTGTTCGACGCAGTGATAAACGATGATCAAACGTCTAATTCGTCCAATTCTAGATTAAAAGTATAGCATGTATTTCCGAGAAACAATAATTAAATACATCTTTTTTTATTTTTTAACTAAAATACCAAGCAAAGCTCACATAAATCCTATCTGCTTCGTTCACTGTTAGGTAAGCTTCGCGGAATACGATATAGTATCCTTGATTTCATCCTTGTACTGCACAGAATTTTTGATACTATCGAGAAAACCTCAGGGAAGAGCGCTTTGCTGAGACAGCAGTGACAGCACGGAGAGGTCGAAACAATCGATTTCGAGAAAACGAGCGGTCACATATAACGTTATAATTTGTTCTGACAAGGATGATGTAAATATTGTGATTATTGTTCATTTCTTCTCACGCTGGCTACAGCATGTTTCAAATGAGTGATAACATATATCTTGATTGGATAATATGTCCGCTGAGACATACATAGCGTACACAGCAGATTAATTAAATTAATCAATAACAAATAGGTTCTAAATTGTTCAAATTATTGAAAAACTCTTCTATGATAAATATCAATGTCGCCCTTATCCGCCGCGTTATCTTCCGTAGTTTCTTTATTTAATTTCAGTTGTATAAGAATATATTATTGTTGCAGATGACTTTATATATTCATGGCAATGCATTGTACGATTCGTGGGTTATGAAAAATGAGCGATGAGAATCCTTACAAAAAATCAAACAGTTGGATAATTACCTCACTTTTTATACATATAAAATGTACATACTTTATTATGACGACGTCATTTTAATCATTATTTAGAAATTGAAAATTTTGTAAATTATTACATTATTATAAATATACTGCATAGTTTCCTTGGCTGCTTTTATGAAATGTATTAATCTTCTAATTTCTTGCGGAAAATAGAATTAAATTTGTCAAAAATGTTCATACACGCACATACGCACATACGCGCATACTTTACCATTATAATTCATTGAATGATTTATGAAGAGCAAAATGAAATTTGTGTACACGTATCAATTAACATGATCTTACAATTAATTTTTTTTACCAATTTTATTAAGCTTAAAATAAATATTTAATGCAGTAAGGGATAATTTTTAGAGCCGATAGTTTGTACAATAATTTAACAGATTATTATTAGATTATTACCATTATTGTTATTATTATTATTATATATTAGGTCTTTAAGTTGTTTTAATATTTTTTAAAGTAATTTATTGTTAGTTTTCTGAATAGCAAAATATAGTATTGCTATTCTTCCTAAAATAACTATTAAAGACAGAAACGTTTGAATTAATAATATCATTCATTCTTTATAACGTTTGAAGGCTAATTTCAATCATACAAAGATTATAATACACTCAAAATAAAATCGATGGGCATTTTTTTGGTAACATGATCGGCCACATAATCGCGATTATTCCTAAATTCTTTTTTAAATTCCATTTTTTTCTTTCGCAAGGAAATTATTTATACATTGTAAATATTCAACTATAATATACAATTGGTAATAGATACTGCTCTCAAGATTCAAATTTATTGAAATATTTAATTATTCATCAAATCTTTTCCCTTGTGGAATTACGTTTCATCATTAATGTATTGTCAGACATAGATACAACTAACATGATCAGCTGATGGCAAAACATTTGTTCGAATTCAGGATATGCTTTTAATTTTGCTCTACTGGTTTGATTTTTTTAATTTAATGCTTCTTTGTCAAAAGCGAGATGTGTGTGTGTGTGTGTGTGCGTGTGTGCGTGTGTGCGTGTGTGCGTGCGTGTGTGTGTGTGTGTGTGTGTGTGTGTGTGTGTGTGTGTGTGTGTGTGTGTGTGTGTGTGTGTGTGTGTGTGTGTGTGTGTGTGTGTGTGTGTGTGTGTGTGAGCGCTTAAAGATCTTTTTAAAAGAGTCTTTTTCGCAATTGATGTTAGCGAAAAATTAAAAATCACGACGTTTTATTAATTATTTGCTTGTTGGCTTACTAAATTCAGAACAATAATTAACAATCGCGCCCTTCCATACCAGTTAAAGTAATTTTTTTCTTCAACTACACGTTTGTTATTTAATCTTCAACATCCTCTTTCATTTTTGCTTCCTGCCCTGGAATTGATTGCATATAAAACTTGATCGGGTGCTAGACAATCGACTACATTGCAAACTAATTGTAAGAGATCAAATACATTACAAGATGTTGCACCGTCGCAGGTAGTTTCTTACAATTAATAATGAAGAGATTGATTGCGCCGTTATTATAGCTTATCTCGTGAACTCATTATAAATATATTACCGAATTTATTGCCGTTCGCATTGGATCAAAATTGGATCTCTATTTAATCGGATCTGTGCAGAAGACTTGGCAAATCCCAAAATTATATCGTGTTCAATCATCAATTATACAAATGTTGCGTATCTACCACGAGATCGAGATAGGTCGCCATTTGCCTTTTTCACACTCATCGAACAACGAATAACAATTGTCCATTTAATCATCTATACGGAATAGCTTTCTTTGAGTTTGTACGAAAAACCCTGTTCTTTCATTCATTTGCATTGCATATTTTTCACAACTCTTGCAATTGTCATTCTTGCGATCAATATGAGGCAACGATTTCTAGGTCAATCGCCTCCAATAATGTAAATGACAACTCATAAAGCTGTAGTCTAAAGGATTAGATTATTTCAGAAACATTTGTAACGAGATTGCAAAATAAATTTACGTGGGCTTGCCAATAGCTCGCGAGACATATCTCAGCTGTTATCAATCAGACGTAGAAATAAGATCGATCAAATGGAGAAGAGATTCATCGATAAAAACGACTTGAAGAAGTAACGGGGAAAAATCAGCGAAAGAACTTGGCTTGAAGGGAACCTAAGCCAAAATCGAATCAATCAAGTTGTAGATGGATCAAGTATTGAAGCTAGATGGAGTATACCCTCCAAGTACAACTCGTCGGGAAACCAACTCCTACTAATTATTATATAAAGTAGATCATTAGAATTCATCTCAAACTCTTGCCAAATATATATACCTATATATATATATTTTTTTTTTTTTGGCAATATATATATTTTTTTTGTCTTCAATCGCGAATCGCGACATATAAGTCTAGGGGCTATCTCGAAACAACGAATGCACCACATCGAGACGCGGAGCATCTGATTATCATTCGCAAACGTCGCTCTGTGCTACTAGTGCCGCGACACTAGTAGACATAACGACACAATGAAGGCGGACTATTGCTATACGACGATTGCTATAGCATATGTCCTACGGCGACCTATCGATCTACAAATGGTTGACGACCGCTAACGCGACCTTGAAACGTAAATAACACTCGTTATAGGACCTGTTTGTCGGACGGTAGCGCCGATGGAACTTTTCTGCCCAGTCAGGTACCTGCCAGCCATGAAAAGGATTTGTCGACATGGATGAATAACCGCTTATATAAATCTATATACTACCAGCACCGGAAGTAAGAGAATGGACGCAATCGTTGGTGAACCACGCAGTCCGCTGACACCGGCAGAAACGCTTGATGCCATTGCGCTTTTGCATGCCTCGGGTGTGGGATCTGTAAAGCACAAAATTAATTAAAGGTAAATCTCTCTCTCTCACACACTCATTCACTCACACTCACACACACACACACACACACACACACACGCGCGCGCGCGCGCGCGCACGCACGCACGCACGCACGCACGCATGCACACGCACACGCACACGCACACGCACACGCACACGCACACGCACACGACACGCACACGCACACGCACACGCACACGCACACGCACACGCACACGCACACGCACACACACGCGCGCGCGCGCGCGCACACACACACACAGACACACACACACCATCCAGACAAAACGTAATTGACGTAAAAATTTGTTACGTAAAAATGTACTCAGCTAATAAATTGTAAATACAATTTGTCGAAAGTGTTCAACGAGTTCAACTTTAACTAATCAATATCATATGCTGTGTGGTTTACAGCGGAGAGAAAAGAATTCTTTTTATTTTTCATCTTGTTACATACCAGGAATGCCTTTTAGACGCGGCAGAAACTCGTTCCAAAATGCACAGGCCGTTGTGCGAGGACCTCTACCGAAAGCATCCTTCTCTTCCGCGTTCCAAATAAAATACTTTGGATGATCTCTGGTATAAGATGGCCAGTCTGTTTCGCTTACCGTTGGCATCCTGAAAGACGAATTAAAATTAAAAAGTAAAGATAGCTCCGTCCACTAATGAATTAATTGGGCAAATTTTTTAAAACAAGAGTATATAGCAATCTAATAACTGATTCTTAGAAGCTGCTAATTTAAAAAATCTATGATCTCTGTAATTTTCTATTTATAATACATTTTTTAAATTTTAAATTTTTTAAATTAAATTTGATACGTTTTCGCGCTATTTGTTTAGTATACATATATTTTTTATGCTATGCAAAACTGGCGTTTTTTGTGTGGATTGTGTAGAACAATCCACACCCCAAAATCAAGTAGGTATGGATTTCCACACCTGAAAAAATCCACACCCACGTAAATCACATATCCACAGATATTTAGCGAAGGCTGTAATGAATGACATTGATAAATTATTAAAAAATTTATAAGTCAAAATAATTATAGAGCAGCCACGTTTTTTATTGTAAAAAATAAATAATTAAATGTTAAAAAAAAAAATTTGCATACTTGAAAATTTTATCAACTACTGGTGGAGTGGAAGGGAGGGGAAGGGAGATTTTTCATCAGAAATTTCCACAGTATTCCACATCCAAAGCCGATGCAAATCGTCGGGCCTGATGCTATGTGTCACAGTACAAGTAGATTTTGATCAAATGTCGCGTGTGAAGGCAATATGTCGATCGAGAATAACAAAGCAAAAAACGAATCCTCTTCGAATAGAGAACGTACATAGAAACATAACAACTTTAAACTTCAATATCAAATTCAACTTGCGATAGTACAGGACATTTTATTTATTTTTTTTTTTTGCCAAAACTTGTTGGACGGAGAAACATTCTTGTACATGAAAGTTTGAATAATTCTATCACCAATAGAACAAAAAGTAGATATATAATAGAATACTCTTAATCTACTCATAATTAAATTAAATAATTTGTATTATGATTATTACATTTACAATTAATTAAATTTGTCAGATGCAATTTTTAACGCAAGATATTTTGTAATATTTCATTAAAATGTAAATTAGAAATCGTGTTACATATGTAGAATAAAATTAAAGATACATTAATTCCGCTTCACATTTAATTTTATGCATAATCAGAGTCAGGAAATATGATTGATTGTTTGATAAATTTATAATTTCCTTAATCAAGCATTGGCGAACATTTGTAATAAATTTGAGTAGTTTTTTGTAACATTTGATTAAAGTTTTACTAAATAAGAAGTTAAAGTGTAAGACATAATAATTGTACATACGTAGAGCCTGTAAAATATAATAGCCGTAGATGTTTTGACAGAATAATAAATCAAAATAATTTTTCTTATGGTTTTCTAAGTCAATCTCTCTCTCCCTCTCTCCTTCTCTCTCTCTCTCTCTCTCTCTCTCTCTCGTTCTAATTACTATTTTAAATGAATATAACAATTCTCTCGTTACAAAAGTTACATAAAAAACATATATATATTTGTCTTGAAATATAATTATAAAAATATGTAGAATAAAAAATTCATCTCAACATATTTGTCATAACTCAATGAATAAAAATATGTATGTGTATACACATACACACACACACACACACACACACACACATTTTTATTCATTGAATTATGACAAATATATAGAGATTAATTTTATATATATATATATATATATATATATATATATTATATATATACATATATATAATAAATGTATATGTATATGTATAAGTAATAAAATTAAATCAGTATAGACATTTTCATTCAGTGTATTATTTTTTATTAAATTTCAGAACATATGTATAATTTACATTTGATTTAAAGCGCATATCTGTGTAAATGTATGCATATGTATAGTAATATAACAGGAAAGATTTCTCGCTGACCTCTCACCAAACACATATAAAAGTTTAGTCTATAAGAAAATAAAAAAAAAAACAATTTTTATTTAAATTTCCAGAATTCAAAGTGAATAAAAATTTTAATATCTTTAACTTTTTATTATTTCAAGAAAATATTCCATTCAAATAAAAACTGAACTTCATTTTATTTTCATTCTTTTAACAAACTACAATATATAATAATTTTAGCGGATTATATCAGAATATTACTGAAGAAATTTAATTTTTATTTTATTTAAAGATTAGATTCTTTATACAAACAGAAACGGAAACTTTTATTATGGACGGTATGGAACATTCCCACAGCTCCCGTTAGTGTACACTTCCATAGAATTTGGAGTATTTAAAAAAAAATATTTTAATTTTTGACAAATTTTAAAAGATTTTAAGTACTTTGTCAAAAAATAGTATTAAGACTTATAATAATATAAAGATTTATATTTGTAATGAGAAAATATGTGAAAAGGAATTAAATATAGAAAAATATATCTAGAAAATATATTTCGCACATGCGATAAAAAACAAAAAATGTTTGTATTATTAAAAATTACCCCTTCCTCCCCCCCCCCCTCCCACTTAGATGAGGTCTATCACATCCAGAAAAGTCTCCGTCTCTGCACACAAATGTAATAAAAATATGCATATGTCAAAAACAATAATAATTTATGCCAAATCGATATTCAAACTTCTAGCAAACATTGACGATGTTAGGTCATTTTATATTTACATGTATGTATTTGTGATCTTTAGTGCTACAATTATTAAATTAGTCGTCAATGAAGTGACATAGAATATTGTCCTTGGTCAAATTGTGAAATGATGTTCCCTACATACATAATATCGTGACTCTGTTGGGTCTGTTAATATTATTAGTCTATTTACATCAGTTTTATTAATTATTTATGCTTAATATTTCTAAATTTTAAATATGTACTCGCGGAAGTTAATATCTGACGTTAAATGCAGTTAGATGTTGCATCTACATACCTAACTTGGAAAATTTAAAGAATTTTCTTTTGTTTACGATTGCTACTACTGCTACTACTACTACCACCACCACCACCAGCAGCGCACACATATATTATGTCTCTCAGTATTACAATGTAACATTACTATTACAATATTATCGTTATCGTTATCATATTTAGTAATATATAGTATTTAATGTATGATAACTTGTTGGAGTATTATAATATGTTGGAGTATAATAATTTCTTTTCTTTATATTTATGACATGTATATGTGTAGTACTATATTTGTTATATATATATATATATATATATATATATATAAAACAAATATAGTACAATACATAGATATGTACAATATATATGTATTGTATAACAGAGTACATGCATTGAAATAAAGCGCGAATTAAATGAATTCCATGCGCGCTCCGAGCGATAGACTAGCAAATTAATTGTAAAACCGGTTCATAGTCGGTTCTTATATTTAAAACCATCTTAAGATGTCATAAGTTAATCACAGAACCGTATAAGCAGTCTTAAGACATTACTTATAACAGTCTTGAAATTAAAAACAGACTATAAATACTAGCTTCTAGAAGCGTTTTGCGACTCCGGGAAAGCAAGTTGATCATATCGTTCTCTTTTTTTTTGTCTCGATTCTTAGAGAGGACATATCACGTGAAAGTGTAATTTTTAGAAGTATAAGAATATATGAGTAACATATAGGAATCGGCGTGTTCAGAACCTTGCTCTACCGCTGTCTCAAATTCACAGTATACGACAATAATATTAACATTATGTACTACGTCGGACGACAAATCTTTACATTTTAACAAACAAACACGTAATATTGCATAACTCGTAATTATACGTAATACCTACCCCGTGTAAGCAAAATGCGAGAAGTAGTGAATCATTCTCAAAGCCAGATCTCGTTCATTGTCGGTGTATTCCAGAGATTTATTCAAAGGATGTCCAAAGACATATTCCACTTCGTCACCATGCATCACACCCATCCATTCGCCCCATACATTCGTACTTGTTCTCTGCAACACAATATACGCTTCATTGTTATTTCATCGATTTGATGTTATTTTATCAAAGATGGTAACACATTTATCATAGCTTTTCCATTTGATATAGAAATGTAGACCCATATTCAGAACGCCGCGCTGTAATGAAATATCATAATCGCACATCAAGACATATACTTATATATGATTCAATATCAATTTCGAATTGATACTAATATGCACTCTGACTTTGCAACTTTGCAACAAAGCTAAAATCGCGCTCGGGCGAAAACAGGGAACCAGCGAACCAGCGAAGAAAAAAAAAGAGAAACAATAAGCACTTTCGCACGAATCTTCGTCTAATCGATGGGTAAAGCCCTTATTAAGATTACGCTGGCTGGCGCGCATGAGTAATGACATCCTCTTTACTTCTATAACGGCGCGGCGCGGGCGGCGGCGCTTCGGAGGACCCGAGCGCTACTGCCTGATAAATTACCTTCTTCGCTAATTGCTCGAGCCTTCGTACCGCGGTATTTCGCTTACGTGCGTTTCATGACCCAGGGGTTGCAATGAAGATAAAAGGTGAAGAAGAAATGCGAAGTGAGAAGACGAAAAAGAGGAAAGAGAAAAGAGAAAAGAGAAAAGAGAAAAGAAAAGGAGGGATAAAGTGAAAAATACAATGCAAAAAGGATGTTGTAAGAAGAGTGAGAATAAAAGAGAGAGGAGGAAGGGAAGGAGAGAAGATGAGAAGATGCGAGAAAGTGTTTGTGCAAAAAGTTGTGGTACAAGAGAGAAAATGCAATATATAGTGAAAAGTAGGCGACGTGCAAAAGTGAGTGTATCAGTGCGGAGGGAAAAGGGAAAAAAAGAGAAAAAGCGCGGCGCCAAATATAAAAAAAGAATAGCGTGATCAACGGCGTGAATTAGATAAAAGCGCTATCTTTTTCACTTCCTGGAAACTTGGTTCACGAGTTGACGGCAGGCACATCGCGGAGAATAATAGATAGAGAAGCGACAAATGAATAAATATATAAGTTATTTTTATTCAACATTTTTAACTAAATTATTTGAAAAAAATTATTCAGAAAAATTCGGTTAGTTACAAAAAGATATTTAACATTTTTCTCTCATTATATATATATATATATATA